AAGCAGAAGAAGAAGCAGAAGCAGAAGCAGAAGCAGAAGCAGAAGCAGAAGCAGAAGCAGAAGCAGAAGCAGAAGCAGAAGCAGAAGCAGAAGCAGAAGCAGAAGCAGAAGCAGAAGCAGAAGCAGAAGCAGAAGCAGAAGCAGAAGAAGCAGAAGAAGCAGAAGAAGCAGAAGAAGCAGAAGAAGCAGAAGAAGCAGAAGAAGCAGAATAAACAGAAGAAGCAGAAGAAGAAGAAGAAGAAGAAGAAGAGGAATAAGAAGAAGAATAAGAAAAAGCAGAAGAATAAGAAGAATAAGAATAAGAAGAATAAAAATAAGAAGAATAAGAAGAATAAGAATAAGAAGAGACGAGGAGGAGGAGAGGAGGAGGAGGAGGAGGAGGAAGAGGGAGGAGGAAGAAGAGGAGGAGGGAGGCGGAGTAGGAGGAGGAGGAGGAGGAGGAGGAGGAGGAGGAGAGGAGGGGAGGAGGAGGCGGAGGAGGAGGAGGAGGAGGAGGAGGAGGAGGAGGAGGAGGACCGCGGGGAGGAGGACCGCGGGGAGGAGGAGGTAGGAGGAGGAGGAGGAGGAGTGGAGGAGGAGGAGGAGGAGGAGGAGGAGGAGAGGATGAGGAGGAGGAGGAGGGAGGGAGCAGGAGGAAAAGGAGGAGGAGGAGGAGGAAATGGGGAGGAGAAAGAGGAGGAAGCGAGGAGAGGAGGAGGAGGGGGGGAAAAGGAGGAGGAGGAGGAGGAGGAGGAGGAGGAGGGAGGAGGAGGAGGATGGAGAGGGAGGAAGAGGAGGAGGAGGAGGAGGAGGAGGAGGAGGAGGAGGAGGAGGAGGAGGAGGAGAGGAGGAGCAAGGGCAGGAGCAGGAGCAGGAGCAGGAGCAGGAGCAGGAGCAGGAGCAGGAGCAGGAGGAGGAGGAGTTGGCTGGCACCGCTTAACCCGCTTGCTGGCTGACGACGCCGTTGCGGTTGTCGTCGTCGCCCGCTTCCGTGCCAGGCACCCCCTCCAGCCCCCGCCGGCGCAGCGGCTGCGAAGGCCTCCGCCGAGCGCGTCGCGGTCGCCCTCTTCCCCCGTCTTCGCTTCGGGGGGGGTAGGGAGGAGGAGGAGGAGGAGGAGGAGGAGGAGGAGGAGGAGGAGGAGGAGGAGGAGGAGGAGGAGGAGGAGGAGGAGGAGGAGGAGCAGCAGCAGCAGCAGCAGCAGCAGCAGCAGCAGCAGCAGCAGCAGCAGGAGCAGCAGAAGCAGCAGGAGCAGGAGCAGGAGCAGGAGCAGGAGCAGGAGCAGGAGCAGGGGCAGGAGCAGGAGCAGGAGCAGGAGCAGGAGTTGAAGGAGGAGGGGAAGGAGGAAGTGACTCGGGCACGCTCAAAGCCCTCTCCAAGATTTTCCCCCGCCCATTTTGGCTCAAGCACCATTTTGGCTCAAGCAGCAGCAGCTCAAGCTCGTTCTGGCATCTTGTGATCCCCGGCCCAGCGCGTAGGGCAATCCGCGCGCGTGGCCGGTGCCGGATGCCGGGCGGCCGTGGCGGCGGGCGCGGGGATAACGCCCAACCGCCATGGGGCGCTATCCAGCGGCAGCTGAAGCAGCTGGCGGAGGCGTGCAGGCAGGCCAGTCGCCCTGCTGGAGTGGCGCGGCCTCTGCGTTCGCAGACGCGGCAGCCGCCTGGGCAGCGCGGTGGCGAGCCCAAGGGGGCCCGCAAGGCGCCCTGGAGCTGCGCCTGCGGGACTGCCGACAATTTCGGCTGGCGCACCTCTTGTCGAGGATGTGGCCGGCAGGCGCCGCGGGCAGAGCCTTCGGTGCGAGCGCGCACGAGCACAGCGCCAGCAGGCCCGCCGACGCCGGCGCCATGGGCGGGGCTCGCGGCCGGGGCGAGCTCGCGTCCACCACCGACCACCGAGGCTGCGCCGCCGCAGCCTCCGGCCCCGCAGGCAGCCGCGGCCGGTGCCCCTCCCCAGGCAGCTACTCCTGCCCTGGAGGGCCTTGCTGGCATCAAGGCCCGCATCGCCGCCCTCCGCCCCTTCTCCGAGTGGGCGGCGGAGGTGGCGAGGCTCGAGTCCGCGGCGGCCGAGACGCAAGAGGCGGAGCGTGCTGCCCGGCCTCTCGAGCGCCGGCTGCAGTCCGCGTTGGACTCGCGGCGGAACCGCGCTGAAGCGGCGCGGCGTGCCCAGGAGGCCGCGGCGGCTGCTCGGACCGCGGCCGAGGAGGCTCAGCGGGCTGCCGAGGCAGCCGACGCCCGCGCTGCCCAAGCCATCTCCGAGGCGCAGGCTGCGGAGCAGGCGGTCGCTGCGGTGCAGGCGGAGGTGGCTGCTGCAGGCGCGGCGGCGTGCCTGGCCGCCGACGCTGGGGTCGCGGGGCTCGATGGTGCGCTTGCGGCTGTCGCCGCCGCCGCTGCTCAGAGAGGAGCAGACGGCCTCGTGCAGCAGCTGCGGGCCGTGCTGCTGTCCCCTGCGCCCGCAGGCTCCGCAGGTGCCGCTGGTGCGGCGGCGGGCCTGGACGCCGCCGGCGATCCCGCGATGCCCGAGGCCGCGGCCGCGGCCGCGGCGACCGCCGCCGCGCGGCCCGCAGCGCGCCGTGGAGGGGGCTCGGGCCGGCGCGGAACATCCCCAGCCCGTTCCGCCGAGGAGGACGAGGAGGGAGAGGAGGCCGATGGGAGATCCCGCTCCCGGGAGCGCGAACCACCTCTGTTCTCGACAATTGGGCCCCTCCCGCCAGGTCAGCGTACGCTGCCGCTGGTGCCAGCAGCCGGCCGGGGCGCACCGGCAGCAGAGGCTGCAGTTCATGCGGATGCAGGCTTCTAACCGGTGTGCTGCAGCTGCTGCGGATGGCGTTGCCGCCGCGCGATTGCCGACTGCGGAGCCCTTGGTGCGGCGTCCGCGTCGGCGAGGCTCGGCACCCAGGGCCCGAGCAGACCTCCGACGACTGGCCGACGCCACTGGTTGATACCGAGGTGGCCGATCAGGGTCCGTCACTTGGCCAGGCGCTGGTGGCCCCAGCATTGGCCGTCAACGCGGCGGCCTCGTCCAGCAGGCGGCGACGGCATGCGACGTTTTGCACTCAGTGCCAGCTGCCCCGGACCGGCGGCCAGGCTAAGAGAAACGAGTCTCTCTTGAAATGCGTGGAGTGCGAGGGCGGCATCGAGCACCGAAAGTGGATATACCGGTGCTCCTCCTGCCCCACGGTCGTTTGCAGGCATTGCGCCTCCCAGCAGGAGCAGCGACCGTCCCAGCAGCAGCAGCAGCAGCAGCAGCAGCAGCAGCAGCAGCAGCAGCAGAGCGCGGCACCAGCAGCAGCGGTGGACTCGCTCTTGGAGGTGTCGTCCCTGCAGGCACCTTCTGCCGCTGTCTCCGACAGCCCGCCTCGGGCGGCTGCAGGTGAAGTAAGTGGGCCGAGTCAGCTACTGCTGGCGCTTCGACAACTTCCGGTCGTTCGCCGCGTACCGCTGGCGAGGTGGGTGCCCACGCGGCTCGCTCGCCAGTGCGCCGCTGTCCGCTTGCAGGCCCTCGACAGGGTCATGGATGCTTTGGGCTCTGACCTCCCGCCGTTGGCGCAGGAGGAGCTCAACCTACTGGCGCTCGCGGTGCCACACCTCCTGCTTCGCGAGCGCGTTGCCGAGCCAGACGAGCATGCCGCAGTCCAGCCGGACCCTGACGAGGCCGGCGGGGAGAAAGACCAGCCCCAGCAGAGCTTCGCCCGCCTCCTCCGCGCGAGGATGCAGCTCGCCAGTGCTGCTCAGTGGCTTGACCTCGTCACTGCTGCCGCTCAGGACGAACGCAAGTGGGCTGCGGGTCATGCCGAGCGTGGCGCTGGACATGCCAGTCACCTTCGGGACGCACCGCCTGCTCCTGTTACCGCCGATGCAGGCGGGGAGCCGGCCACCCAGCAAGACTCTACGTCTACGTGGACTCGTGCTTTGGAGGCCGCCGACATCGGCGACCTCCGAAAGGCCAAGCGCCTGCTGACAGGGGCGAAGCTCCTCCCGCCGACGGAGGAGACGTACGAGAAGCTGACCGCGCTGTTGCCGCCTGCTTCCGCCGAGGCTCGTGCCTCGCGACCGCCAGCCCCGCCAGTGTCCAAGTGCAGCCCCGTCGAGTGCAAGCAGGTCCGCGCGTGCATCTGGAGCGCCCGTGCACTGGCGCATGCCGGGCCCAGCGGGGAGCGCAACTCCCACGTCCAGGCGCTCCTCAGGAGCCCGCACGCGACGCGGACTCTCTCAAGGTGGGCATCGATGTGGGCCTGCCGGCAGTTGCCGGCCTTCATCCGGCAGCCGTGGCTCCACATGCATCTCATTGCCTCGGACAAGGGCGGGGGCAAGGCGCGCCCCATCGTGTTCCAGGAGGTCCTGTTCAAGCTCGCCGCGGGCACCATCAGCCGCGCGGAGCTCCACAGGGTTTCCGCGCACGTCGGCAGCAACCAGCATGCGCTCGGCGCAGAGAGTGGCACTGCCGCCCTCATCACCGAGGTCCAGGCGGACATGGCGGCCCACCCGCACTGGGTCTACCTCGGGCTCGACCTCGAGAACGCCTTCGGCACTGCCCGCCGCCAGGGCGCCTACGAGCAGGCCCGCGCCTGCTCTCCGCGCGCGGCGACACTGCAGCGCAACATGTGGTTCGGGGGAGTCGGGCAGCTGTGCCGCGTCCGGGTGGGGGGGCAGTTCAAGACGCTGGAGATGCAGGAGGGTTGCTGCCAGGGCGGTCGCAGTGCAACCTCGGACTTCGGCCTCGCATTCTCGGCCAGCATTCGCGACATCTCTGAGGCCTACTCCAAGGCGTTCGCAGATGAGTCCTCTCGCCCGCGTCTCCGCCTTTTCGTCGACGACGTCTGCGTCGCCGCTCCGCGTGAGCACTGGCTGCAAGCGATGCGGATCGCGACGCAGTGCTTTGCGGCACGGGGGCTGAAACTGCGCGTCGACAAGACCAAAGCCCACGTGCCAGCTGCCCGTTCAGACCCGGCCCTCGCTGGCGAGCTCGCTGCCGAGCTGCGCCCGCATGCTGAATTCGACGCGTCTGGTCTTACTCTCCTTGGCGCTCACGCCGAAGGCGAGTGCAGCGCGCATTTTAGTTTCGACGGGGCCACCCTCGGCCCAGTGCAAAAGCGGTGCGAGAAAGCGATCGCATTCGCTTCGATTTTAAAGCGAGTTGCGCATGCCGAGCTCACTTGCCGTAAGTTGGGCCCTCTATGGAAGCTTGTTTGCTTGGTCTTGAACCGCGCTCTGTCCTACGACGCCTGTGTTGTGAAGCCGGCAGCCTTCCTGCCGTGCGCACGTCGCTTGGACAACGCGGTCAGCGATCTTGTCCGGACAGCTTTCTTGGGGCCTGCTTGCGCGGACCCGCAGTGGCAGGCCTGTCTCAGCACCCTGAATGCACCGCTCAGCCATGGAGGCATGGCGCTTCGACCCATTGCTCTTGAGGCTCATTGTTCGTATCTCGCCACGCTCCTCCGCGTGCTGCCGAAAGCCTCTCGGCAGCTTGTCCTCCACCTGCCGCCAGCTGTAAGCGACGTAGGGTACGAGCGCTCCGGCATGCTCGCTGCTGCCAGAGATTGCCTTGGCCGGTTGGCGGCGAGCGGCGTATTCCTCGACGCGTGGGGGATGCCGCAGCCGGAGCCTGATGCGCAAACAGGTGCCCACACATTTTCGCTCGAGCACGCGGTAGCTGCAGGCGCAGCGCTGCGGCACCGTCGTAAATTGTGGATGCTCCGAGCGGCCGATGCCGTACTTTCTGCAGGGACGCTTGAGCAGCGGAAGCACTGGCTGTCCGGAGGCGGCCCGGAAGGCGGGCTTGGTTTCACAGCCAACGCCACTGGGGATTTGGCCCCTTGGTCGGACGATGAGTTCCGCATCAATTTCCGCCGGCGTCTCCGGCTCCCGCTCTTCGGCGTTGCGTGTTTTTGTCAGCACCGCACGCGCGCTGGAAGGGTCTGTGGCCACGCACTCGACGAGCTTGGAGATCACGCGATATCTTGCATGATCGGTGGAGCCCACAACCGTCTGCATGATGGAGTCTGCGACGAGCTCGCGGCGTGCGCTCGCACAGCCGGCCTTG